TGGCACAAACTGAGGCTGTTCCCTGAGCCTCCTTTTCTGCAGGCTGAGCACCCACAGCTCATATACACCCAACATGTTCCTCAGCAACTCCTTCTCAGACTGATTCCAGCTTCTTGTAAGAGCATGTCATCACACAAAAATGACTGAACGTTTACTGAATACAGCTGACTTCCAGCAAACACATCTGAATCAGTGTTTCAGCTCCAGGCTCTTCCTCCCTGCTCTGAAGATGGAGTTAAGCAGCTTGGAGCTGCCAGATTCTCCACAAGATGGGAGGACAGTCTGAACTCACCCCTGTGTTCCCTGGATCTACTGGCAGCAGATCCAGGAACACAGCTCTGCTCTGATCCTGGAGAGGTTTTAATGAAAACCATTTTTGAATGTCAATAACAATCGCCTTCTGGGGCCTGGCTGGCACACAGCCCTGGAGCCACTCACAGCCTGTCCCTCAGCCCTGCACCAGCAGGACTGACTCCAAGGGGAATTTCCAGCCATTGTGACAATTTAGCTCTCTGAGGTAAAATTCAACTGGCTGAGCAAGGAGCAAAGCTCCAGGAATCAGCACCAAAACAAGCCAGCAGCTGCTCAGCCAAATGCCTGAAGTGCCACTGCAACCCAGAGTACCCTGTTAGACTCGACCCTGCCAGGCCTGGCCTTGAGCTGGGCTCAGGACCACGGGGCTCACACATGGAGAAGGCTCAGGAGCTCTGCCTAACGCCAAACCTCCCAGAACAGGACACAATTCCAGCAGTCAGGTACTCACAGAGCTGTCTCCCTTCTTGGGCATGGCTGGCTTCCTGGGGAAGAGGATGAGCTTGGAGTGGTACTCCTTCAGCCTCTGCACGTTGGCCTGCAGGGACTCGGTGGACTTGTTCCGCCTCCGGGGATCCACGGAGATTCCGATAGTCCGGGCAAACTTCTTGTTGATGCCAGCGAGCTGAGGAGAGGGAAGGAGAGCAGTGTCAGCACCCCACAGCTCCCCACAGCCAGCCAGGGATCCCAGCACGGGGTGCAGGCTCTGGAGGAAGGCTGGGCACCAGCTGAGGGACCAACTGTGCCACCAACAAAAGGTGTCCGGGTGTATCTTTGTGCTTAAAATCTTGCTCAGGCTGATTTCTGCAGGTGGATTTCCCTAGAGCAGCAACGTGCAACCCCTGCAGGACACATCTAAACTTGGATTCAGACAGATGTTTATGAGTCAGCTCGTGGACAACTCTGGTTCACTGAATACTGGCAGCTCTATTGAATCAGGATTTTTTTCCGACCATCTGAAACAACCATTAAGTAACTATTTTTTTTACTACCTTAAACAAAAAACTAATTTTCTGTTTGAAGACAAACAGCTGCATCCTGCTTTGTGTTCCACCATTACCCAAAAATTAAAAAAAAAAAGTAATGAAGTATTTGGAACCCAGAAGAACAATCCCCTGCCTCAGTGCACCAATTTCAGTTATAAATGCTTTAATTAAGACACTGAAGCAGGCGCAGAGGCAGCTGGTGCTGCCAGCGAGCCCTGATGTGCAATCTGATCACACAGCAGGCCCTGCAGACCACCTTCAGCAGCTCAGCACACCTGGGCAGGTCACAGGGACAAGGAACAGGGGACAGGAAACACTTCCCACTTTAATCCAACTATTATTACTCCAGCTACTCTGAGCTGTTGCGCTGAATGCTTTTTCCTCCTGCTACAACATCCCCTGCTGCTCTTAGAACTAAATTGAGTTGAGTTCACTCGGTCCTTAACTGGAAACATTGGCTACAATATTTAGAATTAGCAGAAAAATGTTTCATAAAGAAACAATTTAATGAAGACAATCTTAGTCTTCTCCCTCTCCCAAAAGAATTTTGGAGACTCAAGGCTCTTTCAGAATTCAAGTTTCACAGAATCTCTGAATAGACTGGGTTGGAAAGGACCTTAAAGATCTCAAGTTCCATCCCTTGCCATGAGCAGGAACACCTTCCCCTATCCCAAGCCCCATCCAACCTGGCACTTCTAGGGATACGGCAGCCACAGCTTTCCTGGGCACCTTATGCCAGGGACTCCCCACCCTCAAAGGAAGAACTTCTTTCACATATCCAAACTAAATTTCCCTTATTTTAGCTTTATTTTAACAAGATTTTAAATTACAGTCTCAGTACATAAACAGACATTTATCTTTCACAGCACTCTTCACACACCCACTCCACCATCACAGGTAAGACCATCTTTCCTTGCTCCCAGAGCCAGGAAATCCCCAGCCCTCCCTGGCAGGTACCAACACCTGAGGAAGTCACCTTGTGCAGGACAGCAGCTGAGCTCAGACTTTGACTCGATGCTCTGTACTTACTTTAAGCTCCTCCAGGCTGAAGCCCCTGCCAGCACGGACCTTTTTGTGGTATCTGATGGTAGGGCACCTCACGATGGGCCGGATGGGCCCCGCCACGGGCCGGGGGGCGATGCGGCGAGCCTTGGCCTGGCGAGCCTTCCTCCTGCAAGGGCAGGGTCACAGCGCCTTCAGCCGGGAGAGGCCTCGCTGGGGGAGCCCGCCCCGCGCCGAGCCAGCCCCTGCCAAGGCCTGCCCATGCTTTGCAGGAAGAAATTCCCTGTGGTGTCCAACCCGAGCCTCCCCCGCACAAAGTGAGCCTGTTCCCTCTCCTCCTGCCCCTGCTCCCCAGAGCCTGACCCCCTCCTGTGAGGCAGAGACCCAGAAGGTTCCTCCTGAGTCTCCTTTCCTCCAGGCTGAGCCCCCCAGCTGCTCCTGGTGATCCAGACCCTTCCCAGCTCCATCCCTTCCCTGCACATGCTCCTCCATGTCTGTCATGCAACGAGGGGCCAAATATAACACCGCAGTTCCAGGTGTGACATCAGCAGTACCAGAGCAGGGGACAGGCGCTGCCCTGGTCCTGCTGGTCACCAGCCGAGCGTCACCAGCCTCCTGCCCACCTGTGACAGCCACGGGGTACAAGGCATCTCTACGGCATGAGCCGCTCCCGCCCTTGCAGGGAGGCTTCTCCCCCGCGATGGCTCCGGTGCGAGCAGCCAGGCCGGGCCGGCTGCCGCTGCCCTGGGAGCGCCGCCGCCATCAGAGACCCAGGGAAGTGCGTTCATCACGGCGGATGCAGCGATTCCGGAGATGTCTCATCACTTGGCTGCGGCTGGCAGCGGCTCGCCCCGAGCACGACGGGGCATGGCCGAACAACCCCGCGGCGTCCCGGCTCCGAAAGCGGCCGCGCACAGCCGGGACCGGCCCTCCCGCGGCCCCCGAGCTCCGGACTGACCTGCGGAGCTTGCGGGCGGGCTGGTTGAACCAGGTGGCGACGCGGCGCTGCCAGTCCTTGTGGAAGTGGGGCTTCAGGATCATCCCATTGCGGCTGGGCGCCATGGCTGCGGCCTGTGGACACCGGCACGGTTAACGCGGGCACACCCCAGGCGCTCCCAAGCCCGCGGCCTCCGGCCCGGCGCGGCCCCATCGGCGCCCCCGGGGCCTCCCCCGCGGCCCCGCGAGGGGCTGTGGCGGCGGCGGGCGCGGCCCCGGCGGGCGGATGGCGGTGGATGGAGCCCCGGGCCCTCACTCACCTCCCGCTACGACAATGGCGACCGGAAAGGAGGCGCTGGCGCGGCGGCGCCGGAAGTGCCGCGGCGGCGTCCAATGAGCAGCGCGGGAGCTGCCCGGAGAGGGGCGGGGCCAGCGAGGGGCGGGGCGGCTGCTCCGTGCCCGCAGCAAAGATGGCGGCGGCTTAAAGGGACCGCGCACAGCGGGGGAAGCGGGGAGCGCGGGCACGGAACGGGGACAGGGGGAACGGGGCCGCAGCCAGGCTCGATCGGCAGCAGCGGCTCGATGCCCTCTTCCTTCCGTGCCCAGCACCTCCTGGGCGGGGCAATGGGACGGACACTGGGCAGGGGTTCTGCTGGTCCCAAATCCTGAGAAATCCCCATCCAGCCCCAGAGCAGGATCCCTGCTCCCTGCTGCCCTTTGGAGGAGCAGCATGATCTATTATAATTATATTCGAATGATAATGTATTTATTATGTTGTATTATAATTAATGTATTATTATTTCGATATTATATTATTATTATGAGGCAGGAGAAGGATCAGGACTTCCATGGCCCTGGCAGATCCCAGTCCCACAGCAGTGGGATGCTGTCCCCCCCAGTGCACTGCTCCCACCATCACACTCAGCTCCACACAACTGAACCCCCCCTCCCCACAAAGGTTCTGTGGGTTAAAAAAATAAAATCAAGGAAAACTTGAAATTTCATCTGCTGCTGGAAAAGGAAATTCAAGAAGAAACAAGTTTGGAATGAAAACATCCAGGCAGCGGTGTCCAGAATGCAGAAACTTGCCTGTGTCCCTGAGCTCGGGGGGAATCACTGCCCAGGACTGAGAGCCCAGGACTGAGCTGGGCCAGGGGAGAGCAGGACACCTCCACACCCTCGGGGAAGCAGGAGGCTCCCACTCCAGCCCGGCCCGGGATGGGAGCCTGGGACTGTGACAAGGCCCCGGGGCTGGGAGCTGGCAGAGCCCAGGCTGGGCCGGGGTCTTTCAGGTCACAGACAGCCCTGATGGAGCAACTCCAGACAAAAATCCTTCCCAGAAGACGCAGCCAGCCAGGGCACTGCAGGCAGCAACAACCACTTCAATGCTCTCCCTGATGAACACCAGACAGCCCTGGCAGCAGGGCCCTTTGTACAGCCACCAGGACGAGGGAGCTTTTCCTGTGCATTCCCAGCAAACACACCTGCTTTTGCTGGATTTCCAAGAGCACCTCCCCAGCCCAGAACCAGCAGCTCAGAACATCTTCCCACGTGTGCTCAGAGTCACCCTCTGCACACCTTCTGTGTCCCACTGCTCAGCTCTTTTTGCCTCAACTTCTGCTTGGGAAAAACTTGCTGTAACAACTGGACATAAATTATTGACCAGGGAGAAGGAGGCTCTTGTCCTGTAGCACTCCAGAGCTCTAATGAGCCTCGTGTGTGCCAAAACACCCCCGGAGCCTGACACATTGTACACACACAGCAGCACGTTGTGGGCAGTTTATTCCAGACAGGGCTGTTTGTGTGTCGTGTTCAAAGGTTACACAAGAGCTGCAGCAGCCCAGCTCAGCCCCACAGGGGTGTCCCCATGCTGAGGGCACAGCCCTGCCCTCCTGCCAGGGCACAGAGCACAGCCACAAGTGGCTTACATGGGACTTTCCACCCACTGGAATATGTTCCCTGCTTCTTTGCACAAGAAACTTCCACAGCAGATCAGACGTACCAACTCCTAATCACCACCATCCTGCTAGGAATCAATTCTGAAATCCTGAGCAGTTCTCCTTCCTGCAGGACAAAGCTCAAAGAGCCAGCACAGCCATCCCCTACATTTGGGGTGGCAGCAGCAGCACAGCAATTCCCTGCTCAGCACCTTTGAGTGGAGCTGAGAGGGCAGAGGGTCTGTGTCCAAAGGAAGCCTCCGGAGCCCTCCACTCCACATGGAGTGGGCTCACACTGGTCTCAGGCGTGGTTCCTCCTCCTCCTCGTGGCTTGGTGGCTGGGGAGGTGTTTCCTCCTCCCTGGTGTCCTGTTTGTCCCTCTCAGCCTGCAGCCAGCTCTGAGGAGCAATCATCTTCTTGGGCCCGTGGGGAGGGGGCCCGATCAGCGCTTCGATGTCGTCGTAGTTGATCACTTCCTTCTCCAGGAGGGCACTGGACAGCTGCAAAAGGGGAAGGAGGCAAAATGAGGGATGGAGCCCCAGAGAGAGCAGCGAGCTGCTTCTCTGAACTGTCAGCTCAACTCAGGCCTCAGCACCTGCAGCCCCAGGAGCAGAGCTGGCTGTGCCACCACAGCTGGGGTGACCCTGAAGCTACCAGAGCCAGGACCAAATTCTCCAGGCTCCAGCACCGTCCCCAAGAGCACGTTGGGCCAGGAATACACAATGTGACTGCAGGCAACAAAGCAAGCTCTTGGGAATGATTTGCAATGAGAGCTCCAGGAACAATGAGAGAAGGGTCCCTCCTGCCACTGTCACTGCACCTGTGGCCCTGCCCAAGAGCCAAAGCAGCAGCACGGAGAGCTCTGGCAGACCCAGAGCCTTCCCTGCACACACAGTGCTAACAAAGAGCTGCCTGTTCCTGCAGGCAGGGGCTGGAGGTCAGCACGAGTTTCTCTCCAGAAGAGTGGAATTCTCTGGCCCCTCTGGCAGCAGCACCACCCCTCTGGAGCAGCAGGTGGCTGTCCAGAGTGGAACTGCTCGATCCTGCTGACGAGATGTGACACGCTGGCCTGGCAACCGAAACACTGACTCTGGACATACTTTGGCTGCACTTGAAAGTTTTTCTGTGCTGAGCCTCCAGCAAACATCTGGCTGCTGTTACATGGCAGCAGCAGGACAGAGGAGCCTGCAGAGACACCCCTGAGGATGCCTGCTCCAGAGCTGCCAGGGCACTGTCCTGAGGACAGCAGCGTGTCCCAGCTCTCTCCTTAACACGCACTGGAGCCTGACACTGCGTAGCTGAAGGGGTTGTTGTTGTTGTGTTTGTTCTTGTTTGTTTAAAAAAGAGGATTTAAGGAAAATAATTGCTTGATTTGCAAAACAGGCGACATTACATTGACCCCATGTCATTTGGGAAGTCACGGATAGGAATTCTGAAGGGAAGTCAAGGAGATGCAGAGGGTGCTGTGACCCAAGCTGGGCTCAGCGCTGGGCACAGAGCTCCTGGCACAGGTGGGCATGTGCCAGGGTGTGCAGCTGGATCGGGACTGCCAGGTCACAAAGGAGAGGAGGCAAAGCACTGTCTCTGCAACAAGGATTCTTTGGTAAGGAGGTGGAAACTGCCTGGAGTCACCAGAAAGCAGGAACCAGCCCCCATCAGCCAAGACACCATATTCCTGCACCAAAGCCAGACACTGTCCACCCGATTACTGGCTTGGCTTGCCAAAAAGTCACTCTCAGCTCTCTATAAAATTGCACTGCCAAGAGGCAAGCAGAGAAATGCAGGTGAAGGACACAAATTCCAGCTTTGATCATTTCCACAGAGCACTCCTCCTCCTCTATCTACCCTGCAAACACCAGCTGGTGTGAGGAGGCAGACTACTCACTGCTGGGAAAGGCACACACATTCCTCCCGTGCCTGCTCTGAATCTGGGGGATACACAGTAAACAGTCACTCGTTCCCAACACTCCCACTACAAGACTTTCTAGGAGAGAGACAACACTGCAACAGCTGAGCTACAGAGCACAGAAAGCAGCAAAACCACCAGTTACAAACACCCAAACCAAGCAACAAACCCCCACACAATTCAGCTCACTGTTTGCAGCTTGTCCCGGTTCTCCAGCAAGAGCTTTTCTGTGCGCCTGTAAGCCTGAGCCACGAGGATTTTGGCTTCCTTGAAGAAACAAGAAGAGGGAGTTGGGGTGTAGGCGGCAACAAACACAACGTGTGGCTAAACAAGGAGAGCACTGAGGGATGGAATCTGCAAACTGAGCCAGGCAGAATGTGGCCCCATCAACAGAAACTATGGATAAACTGGTTGGAAAAAGGCCCAAGGAGTGCTGGTGGTAAGGGGCAGTGAAGTCTTGCCCTAGCACAACTTAATGGGACATGCAGATTAAGGCTGTCCAGGAGCTAAAGGGGCAGCTCAGCACAAATCCCAAGGAAGCACAGCCATGGTGCTTCTGAAATAGAGCTTTTTTGTTTCCAGCTTTCTGACTTTTGAACTAAAGGAATGTGTTTTTTCAGCAGCGAAGCCAAATTTCTGATCAAAACAGGCTGATTTGCAGTGAGTCTGACCATCAATTTGGTTAGATCTGATCTAGGAAGTGCACACATCTACACTGTGCAGCTGTGACTTTAGGACACAGATTTCTTGCCATCTCAGCCCTGCACAGCACAGGCTGCTGGGCTGAACTGACAGCCAGGTGGGATTCTGCCTGTCCCTGCTGCCCCACTGCACAGCCCTGACACAGGGAACAGCTAAGTGCTCACTCACTGGCCAACAGCAAAATGCAAATTGTCTGGGTGTAAACCACTTGTCATTTTTCAGTGAAGTGCAGAAAGCAATGAACAAAGAGGAACCCTTGGTCAGGGTGGCCTTACGTGGTCCATCATTTGCAGCAGGCCCTGGCTGAAGGGGCGCCGGCCGATGCCAGGGGCGCTCTCCGGGTCTGGGAAGGAGATCTGCCCGATGCTGGGCACCATCCCATACTGCTTCACCATGGCATAGGCAATCTTGGTCACCTTCTTCAGGTCATCCTGTGCTCCTGGGCAGGAAGGACACACACAGTGCTGGTCAGCTCTCAGCTCAGTGCAGGAAGAGCACATCCTGCACAAACACACGTCCTACCAGAGCTGAGAGCAGAGGACCCAGTGCAGCCCATGGGAATGAACACTCAACCCACTGAGGGACCTTCCTACAGGTCCCAAAAGTGACTGAGTGACCCTTCTGTGGCCAGCTCACCTGAGATCAGATCTGCCACTGCCCACAGAACAACCTCATCTAGTGGAAGATGTCTCTACCCATAGCAAGGGGTGAAATGAGATGAGCTTTAAGGTCCCTTCCAGCCCAAACCATTCTGTGATCCTATTTGGATTTAACTAGCTAGAAACAGCAAATAAAGTCCTAGGTCTTCTCAAAAGCCTCACCAGTAGCTGTAACTGTGGCTTTTAGCTTTGGGACAAGTCTGAGACAAGACAATGGCAACCAGCCCTGAGACCTCCATCTTGCAAGTCAGAACACACCATGTGACATTTCTTCTTGCCAGCACAGGAAACCTCTGTCCCTTGCTCAGATCACCCTGGACCTCCAGCTGCCCATGCCAGGCTCTGGCTCCTCACCTGTGGTGACCTTGTTAAAGGTGATGGCCTCGGCCACTCTGCCCCCCAGGGCCATGCACATCCTCTCCAGCAGCTGCTCCTTGGTGAACAGGTGCTGCTCCCGGGGCAGGATCTGCGCGAATCCCAGAGCCGCGTTTGTCCGCGGGGCTATGGACACCTGCAACACAGAGCAGCTCCCTCAGCTCACAGAACTGCAGAGCCCTCCCTACAGCACCACAGGGAGGGCAGGAAGAGGCCTGCATTCCCAGGGAAATCTGTCCATAGCCACGGACAGGTTGGCCTACAGAGACATGGCAGCAGGGTGTCCTCACTCCTGCACCGAGGGCTCTGCCTTCACACACAAACACAATTCCTGCTCAGGAAATTATCCTTAACAGCAACTCATAGAAATCCTGAAATTTAGGAGTTACAGGCCACACGGAGTTCACTGATTCTGTTCCAGAATCCCTGAGATTACCTGCAGCAAGACAGGAGCCTTCAGAAAAATAACAGCTATTTTCCCCACCCACTAAATGAGAGTAATTAACACCAGTTCTGCTTACACAATGGGTCATTCAGAGTGAATATGCTACTGGTAAGTGGCCAAGGAGCTGTCACCCTTGTCATTTCACTCCCCACCTCCCACCAGTGTCTCTGCTTTTGGAGATGTGCACGGATCACATCCCAGGGAGCCAGAGAGGCCTTTCCCTGCAGAGAAGGGCTTGGGGCAGACAACCTCCCAGTCTGGAAAACACATCTCTCCATCAGTATCACAGCAACTCCTGCAGTGGCTTCACTGGCTGCAACGTGCTGGGAAAGGGATCACATTTGGATGTGTGCACACAAGCAGCCTGGAAGTGCACGACTGAGCAGCAGCACCAGGAGACTCAGTTGCTTGTAATTTTTAATTGCAAGGCTTCTCCTATAGCTGTTAATCAGCTTTGCACCAGCACTATCATCAATGGAGCCTAATAATGGATTTCTCTGCAGCATAAATTAGGGACATGGTTTATATAATCACAGAATCATTAAGGGTGGAAATGTCCTCCATGACCACCAAGCCCAACCTTCAACCAATTCCCACCAGCCCACTGAACCACACCGTGAAGTGCCACGTCTGCTTGTTTTTGAACATTTCCAGGGACAGTGACTCCATCACTTCCCTGGAGAACCTGTTCCAATGCTTAATCAACCTTTCAGTGAAGAATTTATTCCTAATATCCAGCCTGGATCTCTCCTAGTTTAGTGGTGGGCTGGGCAGTGCTGAGTAGTTGGACTCGATGGCCACAAAGGTTCTTTCCAAGGAACATGATTCTCTGACTCTGTATTTGCCATTTACTTTTCTGCAGTAGCACAGCCCCAGGCTCACAGGGCAGAGCAGAGCTGCACACAAGTGCCACAAGGCAATCTTGGACAGGGAAGCCCCTGGGCCTCTCCTCCCTGGCAGTGGAGGTACCTTCATGACGGCCTCGGTGTGCTCCAGCAGCCACCCAACCAGCGCATGCCCGGACTCGTGGAATGCCACCACCTTCCTCTCTTCTGGGGACAAGATCTTACTTCTTTTGGCAGTGCCTGTGGGAACACACACCAGGGTTTGCTAAGTTATCAACAGGTGCAACCAGTGGGGCATAACCTGGTCCAGCCCAGGGCACAGCCTGTGGCTGAACTGTCTGTGCTGACTCTGGAGAGGGGGAGGCAGCAAAACCCCTTTAACTAAGATGTTTGGAAAAGGTGCTCCCTGGCCCTGAGGTGGAAAGCAATCCACACATGGGATGGCTTGAAAACCCTGGCAGAAACTTTTCCCACTTCTCCTTACAACAGACTTAATCATTAGACAAATAATTTGACATTTGATTTGATCACAGCTCAAGAACCTTGTTCCCACGGTTGGATCTGTAAAAAAGCAGCTTAGTTTTTGGTTTTTTTGGTGGAAAAAAATCTGAAAACAACACAAAAACAATTGCAAACAACAAAACCCAAAATGAGACTAGCTGGAGTCTCACGCTCATTTTGCTGTTTCCAGTCCCTTAGGCAGAACAAGAGAGAAGAGAGGTGTTGAATCATATATACGAGCTCCCAGTTGAGAAAACTGTGCACTAAGAGTGCTCAAATCAGCTAAAGTCCAGGAGTAGATACAGAAATCCTTCTCCAGAGCCTGGAAATGTCTCTGATTACACATGGCATGCTCTGTATGAGCTTATTCCCAGGCTCCTGAGAACCAGTAAATGAAGCCATAACTCACAGTTAACCCTTCCTCCAGGAAGGTGATTTTCCAAAGTATCTATTTTCCAACTCGACAGAGCAAGTTCAAAAAGGATTGGGAAAAAAAAAGAGATGAATGGAAGTAAAACTTCTAGCACATAGGAAAAATAAGTACAGAACACACAGTGTGTCAGGCACTCATTACAGCTCAGAATGTTGGATGCAAAAAGGTCCCAGGAGCTGCAGGCCAGAGTCCCCTCACAGAGCCCAGGGCAGCAGAGGGGAGAGCAGCCAGTCAGAACCAACATTGCACCAAGCTGGCTTCATGTCTTGGAAAACAACATTCTATTAACGTGAACTTTTAAACGAAGTCAAGGGTTTTATTAAACAAGGAAACAACAAAATTAGCGTGGCAGATCTTGTAAAATACTGCTCAGGGACCCTGGAAACTGCTGTGCCCTGCCAGGCACGATGGAAAAGCAGATTAATTGCAACTGCCTTGATTTTCATCAGCCAGTGCCTTACCCTGCCCTCAGCAGTGTGTGAGCATGGCCCTGTATGGCTATTTCCACAGAAAGATGTATCTATTCTCTATAAATATATGTATATATATACACACACACAGACACTTAAAAAATCCCTGTCAGCCACTGAGGGAGGGACTGTGCTCTTCACAATAGCACACAGTGTGCCTACCAAGATTATTTCTTTTCCTACACTATCTCCTGGCATGCAAGTCCCCTGAAAGCCTGTAGTTATCACATACATGACACAAGCCACCCAGGAAACAACTCTGGTGCACCTCTGCTGGCCTTACACAAACCCCACCAAGAAAATAGGCTCCATCTTCTAAAGCCAAGCCCTAAAAGCCTCTGTGTGCTCAGCAGGTTTCTACCCTCACTCCCAGGAGACCTGACTGACTGCTTTCTGTTCCCAAACTAAAAACACAATGGGAACTACCACAGAGAGAAGTTCTTGCTCCTCCCTTACAGCAACACAAAGCTTTAAGGCTGACAGGGCCTCTGGACTTGCAGAGCTCCCTTTTGATTCCACCCCACTCTTATTAAAACCAGAAGCTCCTAATGGAAAGCACAGTAATATCTTCTTTCTTTCAATAAAAGCTTTTATAGGAACTGAAATGCCCTCTGGATTGTGAAACCCAGAAGCATTCCTATGACATGGAAAGGGTACATTTAATACAGGGGGCCTGGGGGGTTGTTTGGGGTCTTTCAGAATCTGTCTACAAAAAATAGCCAGTCCTGCTAATATGAGAGAATCTGATTAAGCAACAAAAAGACTCCGTGGCTTCCTACACACACCAGAGCCCGAGTGAGGCCAGGCAGCTTTAACTGCCAAAGCTCATGTCCTGCAATGCCCCACACATGGATCCCAGAGATCCCTTCTGCTGCCAGCCCCCCCAGCCTTCCCTGCTTTTTGCTTTATCTTCCCACTCTGGGGAACTAAGGCAAGGCTCAGAAAGAAAAGGCAAGTGAGTCTCTACAAGTCTGGTGCTTGTGCTCCTGCAGATGGGAAAGTAGAACACATCTTTACAGAGCATGTGGTGCCAGGACAAGGGGGAATGGCTTCAAACTGAAAAAGAGGAGGTTTAGTTGGAATATCAGGGGAAAAAAAAAATCTTCCCTGTGAGGGTGGCAAGGCCCTGGCAGGGGCTGCCCAGAGCAGCTGTGGCTGCCCCTTCCCTGGAAGTGTCCAAGGCTAAGTTGGATGGGGCTTGGGGCAACCTGGGATAGTGGAAGGTGTCCCTGCCCAGGGCACAGGGTGGAATATAGACTTTAAAGTCCTTCCCACCCAAACCAGTGCAGGATTCTGTGATCTTTGCTGCAGCTGATGAAAATTTCTGTGTTACATCTACAGTTGTCTCCCTGGGAGGTTTAGTTGGAATATCAGGGAAAAAAAAAATCTTCCCTGTGAGGGTGGCAAGGCCCTGGCAGGGGCTGCCCAGAGCAGCTGTGGCTGCCCCTTCCCTGGAAGTGTCCAAGGCTAAGTTGGATGGGGCTTGGGGCAACCTGGGATAGTGGAAGGTGTCCCTGCCCAGGGCACAGGGTGGAATATAGACTTTAAAGTCCTTCCCACCCAAACCAGTGCAGGATTCTGTGATCTTTGCTGCAGCTGATGAAAATTTCTGTGTTACATCTACAGTTGTCTCCCTGTCCACTCCTGGGAGCTCCTGAGTACAGCTTGGGATTTGTGTTTTTAACCAAAGCACTCCAAGGGTTTTGTTGTTCTGCAACAGGTGCAGAACAACACCCCAGAAGCTGTGAGGAATTTTCTCAAACATCTTATTTAAAATGAGGAATACTCTGAGCATTTTCTGATAAAGCAAACACTCAGGACTTAATTCCAGGATCAGGAAGTAACTGACCCAGTACAAACATCCTGTTCCACACGTTCCACTAAAAAGGCAGAGTGCCAGTCTGTGTGCCCAGGCTCCTGCTGGGAATGGAGCCTGGAAGCAGTTCAGTGTCTGATTATGAGATCCACAGCTTGGCTCCAGGGCAGTGCAGCCCAAAACCTACCAGATCCAAATCCCTCAGGTGAAGTCTAGAGCTCTGGGAACTCTTTTCCCCTCCCTACAATACACAGGGAAATCTCTAGAGGTTCCTTTCCTGGCAATGGCACAAGCAGCAGGGAAAGGCCACAGGATGTTCTCAGAGGGAGAACAGTGCTCCACTGTCTTGCAGTTTGTTCTGCCAATTCATCAAAGCCTGGGCTTGGAGGGCAGAAAGAAAAATCTCTAATTTCTTGCTGGTGAGGATGCAGAGACTATTTGCCATTGATATTTATGTAGCAGGTGTCCAGAGCAGCAAGAAAAATTCAGAGATATTGTTACTCTTCTTGTTTAAAAAAAAAAAAGCCAAACAAACAACAACCCACAACCCCCCAACCTTCTACACTGAAAAAGCAACATGGATTTGAATTCTCCTCTTTTTTATTTTGTCAGTGGCCATTTCCCCTGAGCTATGGGTTCAGACTGCTGCAGATTCAGGAAGATGGAGCCATTTGGGGTGTTCTTCAGAGAACTTTCTGGGACTGTCACTGAACACCTTCAGGCCAGAGCACACTCTGGACCCATCTGTCATTCTGGGACGTAACCCCCCACCTGAGCAGAACAGACCCTGAGGCAACACCAAGAAATGCTGCTGCACTGGCACAGTGCCCAGAGCAGCTGTGGCTGCCCCTGGATCCCTGGCAGTGCCCAAGGCCAGGCTGGACAGGGCTGGGAGCAGCCTGGGACAGTGGGAGGTGTCCCTGCCATGGCAGGGGTGGCACTGGGTGGGCTTTAGTGTCCCTCCCAACCCAAAGAGTCCATAATTCCCTGGAATGGCTGCACCTCTCACCTGCAATGACTCTTTCCACAGCATACTCGAAGTTGGAGGTATCAATGGATTTGTGCCCCTCCCTGGCAGCATGAAGAGCAGCTTCATTGCAGATGTTTGCTATGTCAGCTCCTGCAGGCACGAGATCACAAGAGTTACACTGGGTCTGAATGGCACAAACAAATCTGGAGAAGGACCTAAGGAAGTCAAACAGCCTGTGCTCTTTGTTCCTTGGGAACAGAGAGCAACCCCAGCCCATGGTGTTGATGTTGGATTTGAATAATACAACTGCTTTGGCAGGGAATGCAGATACCACACAGAGCTCAGCAATCCAGGAGCAGGCTGAGGCCAAGGCTGGCTCCCAGGGACAGGGATGGTGTGGGCAGTGGGCTGGCACAGGCTGCTGCTCTGCTCGACCTCGGAGAGCAGAGAAGGAACATCTGTTCCCAGTTTGTGTGGGTGGGTGATGGTGGCGGGGGGCTGCTGGGAGCAGACACAGAGAGGCAGCATGCTGGGGCCTGGGAGAGGGAAAACCCAGAAAGGATATTCCAGGAACTCCACAGAAACAGGAACTCTGGAGCCCCTTGCTCAGCTCTGTTTCAAGCTCCCAGGGACCCACCCTGGAAGCAGGCTTGATGCAGGAGCCAGGCAGAGCTGTCCAATTTCTACTCTGATCAGCAAAATAATTCCTACTTGTTCCTTCCATCACTTTCCTGGTAATATAAATCAATTTAACAACCACTCCTCTGAAGTGAAGTGAACCTCACCCTCAACTGCTTTGAGAGGAGCATGACTGGTTCCTTCCCTTAGGAGTTAGGCACCTGGGCATTGTAAAAGGATGTTTTCCATGCCTCCCCACCCTGTTAGTCCAACATATTTCAGAAGATTGAAAATAGTCATGAATATCTGCTCATCAGAGCTCACCAGGGAGCTGGTCAGGCTCCCACTATTTTTTTTCTGTTTTCCACAGATAAAAAAAGCCCTTTTTGACCAAAACTCCCCACTGGCCCCCAGCACCCAGGAGCTCCAGCCTGAGTGGAGCAGGAGCAGCCCAAGGACACATCATACCACTGAATCCTGGGGTCAGCTCTGCCAGGTGCTGCGAGTAGAAACTGCCATCCTGGATCAGCTTGAGGCCCTTCAGGTGCTGCTCAAAGATCTCCTTTCTCTCCTGCAAAGAACACCCAGCAGCTGAGCCCAGCCAGGGTCACCACGGGGCCCTGCTGTCATGGCAGGGAGCAGGGTGGTGGCACTGCCGGCAGAGGGGACACTGACAGTGCCAGCAGAGGGGACAGCGACAGTGCCAGCAGAGGGCAGGGCTCTCCTTGCAGAGCTCCAGCAGCCCTGATAAACACCCAGCTCTCAAATTCCCAACAGATGCACAGGCTCCCCCTGAGTCACGGCTTTCTCTCTCAGGGCCACTCTCCCCATGTCACTCTCACTCTGATCTGTCTGAACTTCTCCCTCACCATGTAAGCCCTTGCAGGAAGGAGCTCTGACTGCCTCGACCTGCTCCTGCACAAACCACAAACTGCAAAGCCCATGCAGCAGCTCCTCAGCCTGCACCCATTTCCCAGATGGAGGTGGGGGTGAGATGCTGCTGGCCAGCAGCCACCAGTGACTCATTCAGCTGGTCCAGGAGATCCTGACTCAAACAATGGGCTCAGTTGCCAGGGTTTTTCCCCTTCCTCCTTCAGGGCAGCTGCACAGTTCATGCTTCCGGGGCCAGATTCTATCAGGCATTTAAGGTATTTTCACTGAAAACTCTGCGGAGGACAGTGAAGCACAGATGGGAGAGGAAGAGCCTGTGCTGGCACAGCACACAGATCCTCACTGCAGCTGAGCCTATTCCCAGAACTCTGCTACAAATGTCAACACAGCAGACATGGAAGACTCTTGTAAATGGATTTAAAAAGCATTCAGAAGGAGAAAGTCACTTAACAGGCTGCCTAAAGGAAAATGAGGAGCCTTACAAGGATAGGGAGGCCAATAAACCTACAGAACAAATAGTGCTCAAGGCACATGACAATTTAAGCTCTCACACCAGCCAATTGCCAATTAGGTGCTTCCCAATTTCCTGAAGAGAAGACACAAACAAAACTCTGCATCTGCATGGCAAAAGGCACCTCACAGAAGAATTCACTGCCAAGGTTGTACCAGAGCAGAGACCTCCAGACCAGTGAGGTGCCACTTCAGAGGAACAGGCCACTGCATTAGCACCCCAAATCCTTGATTCAGAGCACAGAAACAGGAACAAAGGCAAACAGAGGCTCCACATCTCCATCTCCTCCAAGCTCAGCCTTGCCAGGCCAGTGAGACCAGCAGGGGCTGGGACACCTCAGCCACAGGAAGGACAAGGCAGCTGGTGGAACATACCTGCAGCGTTGGGAGGTCAATGAAGATGTGCCTGTCCAGCCTGCCAGGTCTCATCAGGGCGTTGTCCAGGACGTCGGCGCGGTTGGTGGAGGCCAGCACTATGACGTGATCCGTGGTCCCCATTCCTGCCAAAAACAGGACCAGACGAGGAGGTTTGCCCACCTCAGACTGCACTGCAGGCACACAGTGGGCTGGGGGCAGGGGATGGAGTACACAGCTTTACACAAAGCCAGAGGGTGTGTACAGCACCCTTTGGGGCTGCTGAGGCTGAGTGTCCCCTGCAGCTTGGAGCAAAGTCACAAAGGAACTTCCCAAGTGACCCAGACCAGTCCCTGGTTATCATGGATACTCTGAAATCCCCTTTTCATTTACTTAAGTCTTGGCTTAAGATTTTTTTTGTCTCTTTCCTACTGCCACACTTGGAAATTGCTCCAACCAGGACCTAGAACAGAATCTCTGTTTTGATGAGTTTACAGATGCCTTCTCAGCCCCAGGATAAGTCAATTCCTGAGCCTTTAGCTCCAGATTGTACAAGCAGCATTTCCTAGTTGAAACAGCCTTTCCCACAAATTTCCACTGAAAGCCCTTTTGGTTTTTATTTACTTTCAGCCTTCAGCCACAGACAGGCTTTCCCCTGGGCTGCTCAGGTCAGTGCAGAGAGAGGACAGCTTTGCCACCCAACAAGGGCCATGTTACAGCATGAGCTGTTCTTTGCCTCCTCTTACAGGCACCGTGCAGGGCCCTGCACAGACCAGCCCTGCAGAACCCACACCAGACACAAAACACAACCCAAGAGCTTTGCACTGATTATCTGCACAGAATTTGGCCAAGCCAGTCAGAGCAGGTTCTGTCTCCAGGTCTTTAAGGAGAAGGGAGCACTGGGATTTACAGGCTGCCTGAGAGCAGCCTCAGTGGAGGCATCAAAGACAGACAGGATTTCCTGGGGAAGGGAAGGCAGGGCACTGGCAGCTGCAGGAGGGCAAAAGGAGCAGACTTTGTGCTGCCTGGGTGGGGAGCCAGAGCTCCCATTGAATCCCTGCCCCACACGGTTATTTATTGCATTCCCCCAGGTGCCTGCAGGCCCCTGGGCATGAGTCACCTGCTTCCAGCACATTCCCCAGCCCTGGCACACAGCAGCCTTCCCAGGGAAAGGACACCACAGTCCCATGTGCTTGCCTCTGCCAAGTCCCACGCTGTGGAGAGGCGGCTCTGTGCACGTAAGCTGGGCCAGTTTCAGCTCTCAGCTCCAGCAGAAGAGCTGCCAAATGTGTCAGCGTGCAAGAGCTCAGCACAGATCAAGGCTCCAGGTGAGGCAGGGGACTGGCTGTGCCAGCCTGTGCTGCAGCAGACCTGGTGCTCCCTCTCTGCAGGCTCCTGCCTAAATAAGCTGCCGGAGAGGATGAAGCCGAGCATCCTTCAGGCGTGGATCACACTGCACTCTGGAGTGGGATAAACAAGCAGAGACTGGCAGGCACTCCAGGAATGGCAGGATTAGATGGCACAGTGCATTATCTGCCTTGCAGCTGGGAAGACTCTCTTAAAATAGGTCTGACTATTAGAACAAATAAAAAACCAGAAGCACTGAGAGCATCCTCCTCACATCAGCTTCTGCCCCACTTGCTTAATGCAACACCACCTGGCATGTCACAGGCAAAGATCAGCCAAAGGAACAGGCTACAAAAACAACACCTCATCACATCAACAAATGAGAGACAGCTCTGAAAATGCAGCCTGAAAAAAAAAAAAGAGTTCCTGCAAGGGTCACAAATGAACCACTCCAGAAAGGAAAGGGAAAAAGGGTCTACTCGAGCTGCAAGTTCCAGGATCCTCACTGAGCAACACACTGCTTGGTGGGCATCTCACCTGCAGGGTTACACTGTGTCACCCTCCAGCCATGTGTCCAAAAGCCTTTGGACACCTCCTGGGAGCAGGGGCACTGGAGTGGGGCCCCTTCCTGAAGGAAGCCTCAGGGCTGCACATGGCACAGCTCAGGACTTGTCCAAGGGCTCCAGGTGAAGAGCTACCAAAAGCCATGCTGCATTTCCATTCACAACCCCCCAGCTCAGCCCAGGACTGCCAAAGCTCCTCTCAAAGCATCCAGAACAGAGGAGAGATTTGGGTCACACTCCTCTTCCGCCTGTCTGCGGTTTGAGAGGGAAGATTCACTATTCAAAGCAGGCACCTGCTCCGACAGAGCCGGGCTTTGTGCGTCACTCACGGCGCCCTCACAAACAGCTTTTGTGGAGAGGCTCCCTCCAGTGCCTCCCACCACGGCCCCGTGCTTCCCCAACTCACAGCAAACTGTCAGAGGGAAGGAACCCCAGGCTGCTCAGGGGAGAGCCCCCTGATTCCATCAAAATGTTCACAGCAATGGGACCGAGCCCCAGCCTGAACTCACCACATGCAGCTCATGGTGCACTCAGCTCCCTGCAGAGCTCTCATCCTCCTTTCCTTGCTCTCCCTTCCCTCCAAGAAATCTCATTCAATCACAGAAATCCAACAATCAGTGATGACTCACTGATCTGCTTTTGTGCATTTTTTCTCTCCAATTAACACCCATCTCGGGTCTATGGTATTGTCTTGCCTTCAGCCCTCAACTGAAGCTCAACCGGAGCTCTCAACCTTCCATCTCAAGGTTTCCTTACAAACACTCAGCACTCCTGGGGCAGAACTGTTCCCCTCCTAAACAGGTCATTCTCCATCAACCTGGGGACTGTTTTGCTGTGCTGCACATGGCACACCAGTGTTGTTTTAGGTGACACACTCCGTTAGGTAACACTCCAGTGACACGTGCCAGGATCCCTGCTGATCCCATGTTCCCTGCACCAGGCTGACATCCTTGCCAGCTGTCTCCTGTATGACACCCTCAACTCCTTGGACTGTTTTTTTTAGTGTGTGTTTGATAAAGCACTGAGCAAAATGAAGGACTCTGTACATGATCTGTGTGAGACACGAATAAAGAATGAGATAATATAGATTTAAAAATAAACCAGGCAGCACACTGCAAACAAGAGACTATAAAGTACACACTGAGGATAATATTTACCTTCTAAACTCACTTTCCAGTTGAGCTGAACCCTTATTTCTGCATTGAAACTCACCAGGAAAACACTCTGGAAACCACGCCTAATTTTTACAGACTGATGGAAATCAGACATTTTCATTTTTAGGATTGAGATGTGGAATGTACTGACTACATATTCCTGAACAGACACGCAGGCTTCCATTTAATTCAGAAGCCAGCCCACCCTAAAACTGCTAGGGGAGAAAAGGACCCACCCAAGCCAGGACTGCTGGGTTGTGTTAGCATTGGCCTTTCCTGTCAGGATCTCTGCTTCACTGGAAACACTCAGTACAGAGCCAGCAGTTGGAACCCAGGTCTGGGGATGCTTTTGGTGCACAACGGCTTCAAATTTTTCATATGAAGAGTGTGGTGAGACAACATGACAGTGAAGCTATGAGTCACAATTACAGCGAAGGGAAAAGTGAAACAAACTCTCCCTGATGGGCAGGTAGTTGGTTATTCCTCACCCTGCAATAGTAAAATTTATCAACACAAATGTTGCAAATTGGGTCAGTGCTGCAGGCTTGGACAGAGACAGGACTAAGGACTGCCAAAGGATCATTCTTTGTGTGAAGGTGTCTGAGCAAAGGGCCAACCAGGTGCACAACAGCCAGAAACCAAACACAAGTGTGGCCTCAAACCAGGACTTGTTTGCAACACTTATCTCCCTCATCTCAGAGATCCTGTGGTCAAGGCAGACAACACAAACGTAAGGCAGTGGACAGGAGAATTGATACAATACATCACTTCTGTCCCTGTAGGACAGCTGGACTCTAAACTCTGACAGGCTTTAAACCACTACCTATCTCAGACAGGATACAACAAGTATCAACAACGTGTAATGGCCAGCTGGACTGAAACTCCAGGGGGTTAAAGTTTACAAGATTTAGGGACTAGTGATGGGGTACACGGGCTCGGACTGGTTCAGACTTCAGCAAGAGAACACTGCAGAGGCCAGGCAAGTTCAAGCAGGACAAACACTGACCGTCCATCTCCACCAGCAGCTGGTTTAAGGTCTGCTCCTCCTCGGCGTTGGCAAAGCCTGACACGTTGGTGGAGCGCTTCTTGCCCACGGCATCGATCTCGTCGATGTAGACGATGCAGGGAGCGCGCGCCTGCGCCTCCCGGAACAGGCTGCGCACGCGCGCGGCTCCCAGACCTGCAGCGAGGGAAACTGTCAGCCTGCTGGCTAAAGCTGGGAGCAAAGCTGGAGAGCTGGCCCTCAGTGAGACACCTGACAAACACCCTCTTGAGGTGACCCACCCGTGTGTGAGGACACGAGGCTTGACTCCATTTTGCTCAGAAGGCTGATTTATTATGTTATATAATATATTAAAATACTACATTAAAACTATACTAAAAGAACAGAGAGAGAGGAAGGATCAGAAGGCTACAAAGAACAAGAATAGAATAGAATAGAATGCATAACAAAATCCTGTGACTGCTCACAGCCTTTGCAGAGGTGGCTGTGATTGGTCACTAATTGAAAACAATCCACATGGACCAATGGAAGATGCACCTGTTGCATTCCACAGCAGCAGATAGTTATTGTTTACATTTCTTTCCTGAGGGTCTCAGCTCCTCAGGACAGGAAAAACCCTAGGAAAGGATTTTTCATAAAATATCATGGCTACAACACCCTGAATGTGACAGTTTCTCTCTCAACACTCTGAGCACAAAGAAACAGCCCCAGAACTTGTGTGGAGTCCTTAGGCTCAGTGCATCCTGGGGCTGGGTTTAAGTGGGCTCCTAAACCTGCAGGGGCTCCTACAGCTGCTGCAAGAGGAGCTTTGCTCCCAGCTCCCAATGTGGCCTCCTGCTCCTCCCACAGTTCAGAGCAGAAATAGTCAACATTTTCCTGCATACTGACCCTTGTCGGGTCTCAAGAGATCTGTGAGGAAGGAAGAAAAGGAGAAGGATGGAAATCCCAAGGCACACAGAGGCCCCACTTTCCCCATCTGCATTTCCATACAAGGAAGGAAGCCTCAGTCAAGGACTTTAATAATAGGTACAGGGAAGCCAGAGAGGATGCTTGCAGGTAAAGGACCACAGCTGCACTCTGTCAGAAAGCAGCAACCAGAAATGCACTTCAGATACTACATAATTAAGGAACTGCATCACTGAAAACCTTTTATATCTTCAGTCTACATATCCAACCCATCCTCCCCATGCCAAGCCCTTTGCAGGAAGCCCAGCCAGCTCCCTCCAACTCCACAAGAGACAAAGAGAGCTCCCCCCATTCCTCAGAGCACCTCACCTCCAATCACCTCCACGAACTCTGAGCCTGCCATGGCCAAAAATGGCACCTGGGCCTCTGTAGCCACGGCCTTGGCCAGCAAAGTCTTCCCACAGCCTGGTGGGCCCAGCAACAAGGCACCCTTGGGCACTTTGGCCCCGAGCTGGAGGTAGCGATCAGGATTCTGCAAGGACAACACAGCTCAGTCAGAGCCACAGCTCACACCAAGTACTGCACCACAGTGGGGCTTCCCAGAGCTTCCCCAGAATGTTTTCAGCCTGGGCAACTCTGAGCTGCCAACAGGAGCAGCTCCATCTGCATTCCCACTGTGGAACTGGAGAGACAGAGCTTGTTTCAACAGAGGCTGCCCAGAATCATCAAGGATGAAGAGCAGAGCACCCCCACCCCCTCAGGTCACCCCTCTATCCCAGAGGAAGGGCAGCAAACATTTGTTTTGTTCTACTTTTACATACCTTTAAATAGTCCACAAATTCCTTGACTTCCATTTTTGCCTCATGCATTCCTGCTACATCCTTGAAGCCAATCCCTTTTCCAGATTTCCCATCCACAATGGTGAAACGAGCCATCTTCAGCTGGTTCTGGGGAAGGCAGCACAAACACCAAACAACTTTGAACAAGGCAACAGTCTGGAAAGGCTGTTTGCTACATTTTGGGAGGCAGCCCAGCCCAGGGAGACAGCCCAGATGTCCCTACCAAACACCACTAAAGTCCCCACCAAAGCACTGGTGTTTCATGGATTTTTGCTCTGGAGAAAGTTCCCAGATGGATGGTTGACTCAAACTTTATTTATCCACATGTTGGGAAGAGACAGAATAAACTTGCAGTAATAGTCCCAACACAATCCAGCTAAAAATCCATGTAGACCAGGCAGGGATGATTATTAAAAACATGCAGATGTCCAAAGCCTGATTTGGGATCTCCTCCCTGATTTCTAAATGCTCTGATCCTTAATACACATGGGACAGTCATAGTTCCAAGGAATATGTGTTGATGGCAAATAACTGTCAGTGGTAAATAATTGCCAATACTTGTGAAAGCATAGACACTTTGCACAGTCTTTGATGTTGCTGCTGGCTTCTGCTGAAAACACCCCAGGCCAAAACTACAGGTTCTTAAACTCAAAAGCCACCACACTTCAATCTCTTGATGCATGTGAAGCCACAACAAGAGTCAAAACAAGAATTCAGTTAAACATCCCACTCATAACTGCTCAGTATGGTCTATTCAAAGCAGCTACTCAGGAGGTTTTTTCCTTCAGAAGAAAGTTTACGGCTTCTGATTCCTCAGAAACATCCAAAGGAAGAGTTAAACTCAGGGCCTGGCTGTCCCCACTTAGGCAAGGACACAATCTAGTCCTCAAGGCCTCATTACTCAACACTTCTTTAAAATATTCCTTTTCTCTGAGCAGCTGCATCCTTTTGTTCAAAGAGAATCTCAAAGCCAAAAGAGAACTGCGGAGGAGACTGAGTGGGAAATCCAACAAGGGACTGAATTCACTGTGTTTTCATCCCCAATCCCTGCGGTCAGGGACAGAGCACCCCGGGCTGATTCCTACAGCTTCATCAGCTGATCCAGGCCAGGGTGGGAGAGGGGAGGAGGAGGAGGTTTGCCTGGTGTTGCAAGCGAGGCATGCGGCAGGAGCAGAACAGGCCAACACATAATGAACTCCAGAATCTGAACATATTTTATAAATTGAGAACTCATTTTGCAGAAAGCAGCAATTCCTACTTCTGGCTGTATGGGAGGCATGTTGGCAGGGCCCAGTGAAAAACACCATCTGCAGCTGCAGCTCATTAGCAAGCTTTGAAAACAGCAAACTGGACTGAAATTCCCTGAGCTCAGCCCTTCCTGCCACTGGGAAGGGACCTCAGCTAAGGCCAGTTAAGGTACCAGCCAGGGAGATGAGCAGCACAGGATGCAAGGTGTGGCAAGACTGGAGAGTCCTTGGCACCAGTTCATCCTCATCCTGCACTGACTTTGGTGGGAAAAGGGAGATAACCAAGCAGAAGCCAAGACTGCAAAACATGCTCAAACCCAGGCTACTCACAAAGGCATTGAAGCCTCCAGCCCTGCTCGCCACCCTGAAGAGGCGGAAGATGCTCCAGAGCATGGACACGGCCACCAGTGTCACTATCAGGGAAAGGACATCACTGAAAGGACAAGAGGAGACAACCCAGCAGAAGCCAAGACTGCCCACAGGCTGCAAAACATGCTCAAACCCAGGCTACTCACAAAGGCATTGAAGCCTCCAGCCCTGCTCGCCACCCTGAAGAGGCGGAAGATGCTCCAGAGCATGGACACGGCCACCAGTGTCACTATCAGGGAAAGGACATCACTGAAAGGACAAAGACAAGAACAAACTGAAGCACTCAGCTTCACCTGGTCAGTATTACCCAACATGACTACTTTTAAAGGACATCTAGGCTACAGTGCAAACGAGCAGACGTGATTAAGAACATGGAACTTCTGCAGGTTTTTATACAGATATATAAAACCCCTAACCCAAACCATTACATAACCTAAGAAGTTAAGCAGAGGACACTGGCAAACATTGCCTACAGCTGTGGAAGAAATTCGACCTCACCATCCACTTCAGAGGCATTTCTGCTTCTAAAACAAGCAGGACTTCCAGGCACTCAGATCACACGCGGAGCAGAATCCACTGGGGCTGGCAGTGCCTCCAAAGGGAGCTCACTGCAGAGGACAGTGAGGGATCTCCTCCCTGATTTACAATTCTTCTGGTAACAATAGGGATTCCAACTCTCCTAATCATGGCAGAAATCACAGTGTGGGTCTCCCATTAAGAGACTGCTTGATTCTCCTTAGTCAAATTTCTCAGGAGTCCTTTATGCCAGAAAAAAACTGCTCCAGCACCAACATTGTCAGTTTTCTGAATCCTTTGGAACACCCATTGCATAAGAAGGGAGATGGGGAGCTGACGTGACACCCCAGGTCTAACACAGTTACAGCACACATGCTGAGGACAAATACCCTGTGAGTTCTAAACAAAGGATATCCCCAAGAGCAGGAAAAATGATCCTATGCCAGATGACAGGCTGAGATTGGTGTGCCCCTGTTCTGCTCCACATGCCGGAGGAACCATCCGGCCTCGCCACACTTTTGTGCTTATCTTTACACCAGAAATGTGTGCTCCACCTCTCACAGAGGGATGATTTACTGGAGCAAGGGACCAGCAGGAGCTCTACACCCAGCTGCATTTGTTTCTGCTCAGTGAGAGATGCAACAGCAACACTGAAACCTGAAAGTCACCTTCAGTTTGCTTGCTCTGCAAACAGGATTAATTCTGAAACACCCTGAGCGCCCACAGCATGGAGCGAGCTGAGCCCTGCAAGGCTCTGCACCTCACAGGCTCCAACTCCAGACTGAGACCAAATCCTCCAGACATTCATCAGGTCTTCTGAGAGACTTAACAGCCCATCACAGCTCTTAAAAAATGGTTTAAAATCTCTTCTGAGGAGCAGGGGAAACAGCTTGCATTGGGGGCTGATTGTCTGTTCAGTCCTCTCTTCCTGTTACACGTAAGTCTGAAAAAACTGGCAAGTTCTGAATTTGAACTGAAGGTCTCATCCACATGATTACTTAAAAAAGCTTATCTTCGTACATTCAACTACATATTAAAAACACCCAAATGTTGATGAGAGGACAAAATCCAGCCCAGGTATCCAATCAGACACAAACTTCACATTTTTGCAAGGTGTCTGGGAGGAGGAATTACACACCAGTGTAATTACATCTCCAGTGGGAAAATCGAAGCATTACAACAAGGAAGGAAGGCTTAGTGCATCCCCAGCCTTCTCCACAGCCCAGGCTGTAACATCATTTGTTGCCAAGATTTCTATCACACACTGCACTTGGATAGTTGATTATGAGGACAAAAAGAGCTCAGCTGAGCAAGAACTCAGTGACCCTGACCTGAAACATTTTGGCCTGTTGCATGTTGCAATTACAGAATTCTTAAGACCCTCACTTTTCAAACATTAATGTACATCTAAAGCACCTTATCTTTCAGAAACATTCATTCAATGCTCCAAATCCAAGCTCACTTTTCTGTTCTGCATTTAGATAACATTTAGCCGAAAGTCACTTTTTTCCAAGCAAAGGATGCTGTCACCAATACAAGAGCAACAGTAAGGACACATTTATATCATACTTTCCATAAAAGCCAGGGTGTTTGTAGGAAATGGGGATTCTGTCTTTCTCATCAATATTCAGCTCATCCTCCACAGCTCTGAGCTTCTCTTCGAATTTGTCGATGTTTGCCACGCGCATGGTGTAGAGCAGGGTCACGTTCTGGGGACAGGCAAGCCACAGCAGCATGCAAATGTTATTTATTACATATCAATATCTGCAAGGAGCAGAGGGGCACAGCACAGACAGGTCAGGTAAAAATTAGCCTCATGCTACACCCTTTGATCCTGCATCAATGAATTTGGGGGCAGATGACTGACACCAGGGCTCTGAGTGAATTTAGGAACCCTCTGGTCTTAGGAAAAAAGGCTGATGGAGTTTGACAGAACACTCATGACTGAAACCCAAACAGCAGAAAACTTCTGAAACAAAATCCAGCCATAAGAGTTTACAATCTCCTGGATATCTTCTCCCATATCAGACTGAGCTGGCAGAAGAAAACTGAGTTTCTCCAGCTTTTTAGAGATACACAAGATTTTTTTTCCCCCCAGGCCATTGTTAATTATTTTTACAATTCTAACTGGAAATCTTAAGTTTCCAGTTGCTTGAGGCCCCCTGAACTTCAAATACAAGAAAGAAAAGAACTAAAGCAAGTTTACCAGCTGGAGTTTCACTGACCAATAACTCAGTCACCTTCAGCAGTATTATCTAAGCTCATTCACAGCTCTAGGGAGTCACTCACAACTTGTCCGTGTGGAGTTCCACCTGGGTGCAGATAAATCTCCACGATGTCACTCTCAGGCACCACCTCGATCCTCTGCACCTCCCCCTTGGCCAGCATCTCATTCACAAAGTAGTTCCAGGAGATGTTGGTCCCTTCCCTGTTCTCGCCGATCAAGAAGCGAAGCATCAGCACGACGAAGGTGAGCACCAGCAGCGCCCGCAAACGCTCCAGGTGCATCTGGTTCTCCCTCCTCCTGCGCTTCTCCTCCTCTTCAGGAAAAAAGATAGCAGAGGAAAAAGGATTAGTGTGCAATTGTGGAGTTTTCTGACCCAAAGAAGGGAGAATTAAGTGACAAAGATTAACACAATGGTACTTTTGAGTGGGATTTTGTGCTGCATGTTTGGTTTCCCCTGAAGGACTGGGCTTCCCATGGTGCTAGTGCACCAAACCCACTAAAATCCCAGTAAATATCATTCTAGGCTAAAATGAGACACTCTCTTGCCTGGCCCCATAGGGACAGAGGTCAAATAAAGCCACAGAACCCTTGCTGCTAAAAATCAAACTGCAGAGTGACTACAACTCACTTTATATACAACATGGCTCCACAGTGGAAAATATAAGGAGTAATCCCAATGTCCCTGGCAAATCCCACAGCACATTATTGTTTCCAGGGGAGCTCTGATCTCCTGGCACCTGCACCACATCTCCAGCAATGCTTCCACTACCTCAGTAAATACCTGCATTTGCAGAGAATGGGAGATAGCACAGAACACAAATACACTGCAAATCCATCTGCCTTAACCAAACTCCCTGGGTTTTCTCCCATACAACTCACCTCATGTTTCAGAGGGTTTGATAATTTGCCCACATTAAGGATCCGTATCCAAGAGGGATTCCTATGCTGGATGTGCTTTCCCACACTTTTGTTGTGCTACAACCACACTGAAGCAATGACACATGGAAAAGGGATGCTTTACTTCAACTATTTGCCATCAAATATTTTTCCAGTCTCTTAGCACTTATTTTTTTTTGCAATGCACAGGCAAATTTACAATTCTGTGGGCTGTAAAGGGCTGTCACAGCACAGTTCAATGTCAGCTGCTGGCCAGTGTTCGAGTTGTTCAAATGACAACAAATATCTCCTCCTCTTTCCAGTCACATGTGAGTGTTCCCAATATATAATTTAGCACTTGCTCTTGATATGCAATTTAACAGCAACAGCACCATGGCATACATAAATACCCTTCCACACCCAGAAATAAATTCATTCTGTGCCACTGGGCTCTAATGCAGCAGTGCTGCAGCCCAGATTTGATTTATTTGCAAATTCATAACAAATGCCCTGACACCAGCATTTATCACCGGTCACCAATTAGGCCCTACGCATGCTGCAACAAAACCCAGGGACAAACATATGACCCAGGCAGCTGCTAAAAAAAGTCCTCTGTCCTTCAGAGGCACAGCATCATTTTTCACTGCTTCCCAGCCCTGCTCCACGCTGAACAGGAAAGGCTTGTTCCTAAATAGAAACAATGCAGCTTGGCAGAGAAGTCATCATTTCAGAGGGCTGTGACAAGCTCGGGCTCCGCGTCCAGCCCATCCGCTTTGTTCTCTCCTGCCATCCCCTCACCAAGTGTTATCTGCTGCATCCAGCTTTGTTAGGACTCAGGAATTCATCCCAAGGCTGCAGGATGGCATCCACTACAGTCTTATTAGGGAAAATTGAAATACATTATAAAAGACTTAAGTCTGCACAACATCCTGGAAAGCTGAGCAGGTTCTAAATAAAAAGATTTTACAAAGAAGAGAAACTACTTCAGGAAAGTGAATCCTGACAGGAAAAGTCCATCCATGGTTGTGCAAGTTCCTTGGAGGTGTCAGAGTCAACTCCTGCTAGAGCACTTTATTTCATTTCAGACCAAGTGAAGGCCCATAACCTGCTCTAAACACACACAGTCAGGGGTGTGAGCACAAAAACATCACTCAGGGGAAAGGTACCCATTAAACATCTTGACAGAACTCCTCCCATTTCCAGGAATTAGATCTTTCTAGGACCTTTAACCTGCAGCTGAATAATTTCAAGAGAGAACCCCACTTCTAGAAAGCTGCAAGGCAACACCAAGCTCTCCTCCAAGCTGCATTTAATCCAGAACAAACCCATCTATTTCTCAGCTGCGGTGAAGCGTGACTGGCTGCACAGCACAACATCCACCCTGCACCACGAGCCACCCCACAGCACTCAGCAAACGAGTCCCAGGGACTGGATGTGACACTCGCAAGCAGCAGCTGTGGGAATACTTCCAGCTTCTGAGTCTCCACCAAGCAATGATTTGCCATTAACCCCAAATGTGAACTCTCTGATTAAAATCTTTGCAAGGGCTGCGGTGACAGTTTGAAGAGTTCTGTGTAATAATTACAGCAGAGACAAGTGTTCCCCTGGAGACACGGGGCAGCACTCCCCTCCCAAAGCCAGGCTGTCCATTAATCACAGGAGGAGAGGCCACGGAGTGCTGCTGGTTACTGATGTGAACAGCCACAGCACTGCCAGGTGCCTGCCCAGCCATGCCCTGGCCTCGCACAGCACAAGCCCCAGCTCCACACTCTGCTCCCTTCCTGACTCTGACACCTGCACTCAGCCCCCACTGAACACTGCATCCCAGCCAGATCATCCAGGCAAAGCCACTGCTCCTAAGGACACTGCCAGGCTGCCAGCAGCAGCTGACCTCTGCCTCCAAAAGCCAAAAATCCAAGAGGATTCAATTATTAGGAGATAAAACTCCTAAGGACACTGCCAGGCTGCCAGCAGCAGCTGACCTCTGCCTCCAAAAGCCAAAAATCCAAGAAGATTCAATTATTAAGCACAACAAAGCAAAAGGCAAGTGCTCACGCCATTTGGTGATACCCAGGCAAAGGTTTAGAAAATAAATTATAAAATTAATGATGTTAAGTGCCTCCCAGCTTGCAGTACAAAGTTCTGGAGGCATGGCAGGGGGCTGGATGATTTTATGGGCCCTTCCAACCCAAGGCACACAGGTTTTTAGGGAGATAAAACTCATTTTCAACTTTTTACGTGCCTGGGGCTTAGGACAATAAGACATGGAAAACAGTATCTAGAAAGACTGATTTTAAAAAGAAAAACCAAGAAAAATTAGTAGTGCAGCTGAGAGCTCTTTAAAGAATTTATATCTAAGTTCTGTGATTCACTAGAAGTAGGGACACATCCACATTGAAGGTAAATGAAATATAAGCAAATAAAACCAAATCCAGCTTCAATGACTGGGTTTAGTTAACACAAATGTATTAAGTCAAAATGCTCTACAACAAAAGCTCCCAAAACCACCACAGGTAATATTACTGTCCCCTTCATAAAGGGGCAGTGCCAAGGCAAACAGCAACGGGGAGATCTGCACAGGAAGCAAAGTGAACCACAAAGAGGCACTTCCATGGTCTTTCATCCCCTGTTTAGATATTGGGGGAAATTCTTCCCTGTGAGGGTGGGCAGGCCCTGGCACAGGTGCCCAGAGCAGCTGTGGCTGCCCCTGGCAGTGCCAAGGCCAGGCTGGACAGGGCTGGGAGCAGCCTGGGATAGGGGAAGGTGTCCCTGCCATGGCAGGGGTGGCACTGGGTGGGCTTTGAGGCCCTTCCAAGCCAAACCACTCCAGGATTTCTCTCATCAGTCTTGTATCTCCCAGTCCACCACCTAAAGCAGAATACTCCTTCCAGCTTGCTCTTAGCCCCAGGCTTGTACAGGGGGAAGATACAGGGAAGCACAAAGGTGGATCTTGCTCCCTGCATTTCAGTAAATCCCACAATTTTTGGCACACACATACCATCCTCCTCCTGGGGAGATTTCTTCTTGAATCCTCCATTCTTCTGGTTACTGCCCCGAGAGCTGGATGTAGCAAACCAGGAGGTGCTGCCTGCAGGCAAGCAGAGGTCAGGGATTGTTTTGATGGCACAAGGGAAATAGTTTGGAGGGATTTCTTCAGTGCTGAACCATGGACACAACTCCCAAGGCACAGCCATTGCTAACACTGGTGTGGGCAGTGAGGAACAGCCTCACACTTGGGATTGGAAATGCTCAGTCAAGGAAATGTAGATAATGGAATTAAATCAGGTTTCTCAGGAATCTGGGGGATACTCTAATAAGAGCCAAAAAAGGCTACAAACACAAAGTCTGATGACCCCAGGACTTCTTTAATGCCCTGAGCTCCTCATGGGAAGGTGCCACTGCTCATTCCTGTCACCAAACACAGCCCTGGATCCCTGCAAGCACCCCCAGCTCCCACATCCAGGAACAGAACACCTTTGCTGCACCTCCAGGAATGCAGAGGGAAGGCGAGGAAAGGTCAATTCTCTTATGAAATCAGACCTTTCCCCTTCCTGCCCCAGGACTCACCCAGGAGGTTCCAAAGTCTGACTGGGTCTCGGATCAGGAGTTGTTTTGTCAGGACTCCGCCGAGACCTTGACGTGGTGGGGACAGTGTTGGTGCCAGGAGGCTCTGAGGAAGGAGAGAAAGAAAAACAAGACAACAATTGGCTGAGACTCGGATTCCTGAGCAGGGAAACGCAGTGGGTGAGAGTCAGGAGAGCAGCTGGGAGCCCTGGATGGGATCCTGGCTGGGCACTTCGCACATAAACTGGGAAATGTTTGTAACCCAGAGCAAAGAAAGCACAGGTAGAAATTGACAACCCATGCTCAAAACACGTAATAGTTCATCCTCTTCCTCTCTGTGTCTGTTTTTTTGTTCCAAAGGCATGTTGGAAAGCAGTTCTCAGAATGTAAAGCCTTTGGATCCCTGGCAGTGTCCAAGGCCAGGCTGGACAGGGCTTGGAGCAACCTGGGCGAGTGGAAGGTGTCCCTGCCCATGGCAGGGGATAAGAATGAAATCCCTCCCCACACAATTCCTTCCATTATTCCCACGGTGCTTCCCAATCAGTGCCCAACAGCGCTGACACGACGGACCTCCGGGACGGCACAAGGACAGGTCCCTCCGAGCAGCCCGAACGCCCCTCTCCCCCCGTTCTGCTCCTCCCCCGGTACCGCCAGTGCTCGGTGAGGCCCCGCCACCGCCCCGTTACCTGCAGGCCGCGAACCCCGCCGAGGGCACAGCCGCGGGGCCGGGCCCAGGCGGCGGCGGGCGGCCGCCAGAAGGCGCAGCGGCCGCGGAGGAGCCCCACCCGCAGCAGCAGCGCCATGTCCGCCGCTCCCCGGAGCCCTCAGAGGCCGCGCCGGCGGGACGAGCCCGGGCCGGGCCGCGGCGGCTCCGCCGGTACCACAACGGCGGCCCCGGCACGGCCGGAAGCGCCCGCTGAGGGCCGGGCGGCCATCTTGGAAGCGGGCGCGCAGCGCTGCCAGGCCTCAAGATGGCGGCGGCGGCGCGCGGGGGCTGCCGGGAAGGGTGGCGGCGGGGCCGGAGCGGCCTGAGGGGCCCGGAGCGGCCTTGGCCCGGGCCCAGGTTATTTAGGCCCCGGAACAAACGGCTGGGAGGGCCCAGAGGGTCTCTGCAAGGTTAGCAGAGAGGGTGCCGCCACCGCTTGGGCGGCCTGGTGCCGGAGTGTGGTGGTGTGAGCGCACAGCCAGCCCGGCTCTGGGGTTTTATCCCTCCTAATCCCGTGTAATTGTAATGCCTGGGGAAAGAAGGAACAGCCTCTGCAGTCTTAGCTTCAGCAGAGAGGAAGGAGACCAGCTCCCTCCCTGTGCAGCTGTTGGTGAGGAAGGTTCCCATTCTGACAGCCCCAGGTAGGAGTGAGCTGCTGTAAAAAACAGTTGTAAAAAACAGCCTGGGTGTCTGCGATGGAGTGAGGGCCTGAAGTGTGTTCTGAGGGAAAGGCAGTGAACAAATACAGAGAAATTTGTATTTACTTTGAGGGTGGTGAGGCCCTGGCACAGGCTGCCCAGAGAAGCTGTGGCTGCCCCTGCATCCCTGGCATGTCATTGTCCCCTCACGCCTGGAAATCTCTTTGTGTCACTGGTTGGATCAAATGGTTCAATTTACAGACACACAGACCGGTGCCAATTAGTGCATGAGGGCTGCTCAGAGGGGATGTGGCAGCTGGGGGCACCTCCACCCACAGATCCCAAGTGGAACGCCCAGGGAGGCTGCAGGGACTCCCAGCTGGAAGATCCTGGATGTGAGCAGGCTGTGCTGAACTGGGAGTACTGGTTATTCACAGACACATCACAGAGCTGGAGCTGACACAATTTCTATCCCTTTTTCACACTGTGCTTCAAAGGCAACCAGATGACAGAGCACCAGGAAGGCTGGTGGAGCACTGTGATGCCCCTGGATCCCTGGCAGTGCCCACGGCCAGGCTGGACAGGGCTGGGAGCAGCCTGGGACAGCAGAAGGTGTCCCTGCCATGGCAGGGGGTGGAGCAGGATGGACTTTAAGGTCCCTTTCCACCCAAACCATTCCATGCCTGCACAGAGGAGGGCTGGGGGTCTTTGCCTCGCTGGTGCCAATGCAAAGTGGTGCCAGGAGGGAGAGTCAGGAGGTGCTGCCCTGCATGGGCAGCTCTGTGCGTGCTGACCTTGGGAAAGGTGGCTTCAGTCACTGCCAATATGCTCCTTTGGGAGTAAGCCAATATTCTGAGAGGACAGATATAACCTGATCCAGGCTTGGCCCTGCTGGGATGTGCTCCAGCCATGACATCACCCAGTAATGCCACGTCTATTTACTACCGGGGAAAGGTGCTGGATTGCAGGCTGAAATCCCTGCTTTATCTCCCGAGCAGGTCAGCAGCAGGAAGCAGCATTAGCAGCCACATCTTGTTCTTTTCAGGCCCAGAGAAGTCAGTTTCCATGGGAAACACAGCTCTGCTCTGCCTGAGAATTCAGCTCTCCTGTTTCCATGCTCCCTGTCTGAGGCTCGGGAAGTTCTTCAGCCCCCCAGCTTATCCCTGACTCATTTCCACACAGCACCTTGCCAGTGGGGTAAATGGATACCTGGAATCAGGTGGCCACTGCGCCATCCACAGTGAATCAAAAAGGATTACATGCAGAGCTGAAGCTGCAGGGAGGTAAATTCAGACCTTTTACAGGATGAAACTTCCCTCCAGCAGCTGAGCCAGGGCTTTGCTCTGGCAGGACAACCCCCCCAGCTCAGAGGGCACGGAGTTTCCCAGCCTTCCCCAGCACTGTGCATCCCTGTCATGCACCAGATGGGATTTTTTTGATTACTTCTTGGCAGATGACAAATCAAGGTCAAGGGATAGATGCTCCCCTTCAGCACAGCAAGGCCAAGAAAACCTTAGGGTTTTCAGCAACAAAGGAGGTGCTGAAGAGACCACACGGTTTTCCCTCGAGCACAGCAAAACTCCTCACCAGGAAAGAGCTGCTCAGCCCCTTTCCGTGAGCCAGCCCAAGCCCATCACACTATTCACTCCTGCAGGAGCAGCTTGGGATCACAGCGAGTTCCAGTTCCATGGCAGAGCCAGCATGGCACCGACACTGCTCCTCCCTGGGGCACAGAGCCTCCCCAGCCCCAGGAGAGCCTGGGACACAGCACTGGGTACAAATCTATCTTGGGGTCACCTCTAAAGCCCTGGGAGTGTCAGACAGGCAGGTGACAGATGGCTGGGGGCAGGGGATCACGGGGACTCGGCCACCCCGCAGCAGCCGGGGCTTAGAAACTCCGGAAGGGCCAACCCGGGGGAGAGGGAGCAGCACTGAGAGGGGCAGGTTAGGGGCAGGGCAGAGCAGGGACGTGGCTGTTTGTGACTCAGAGCAGAGCACTCTGCGGGAGTGCCCTCCCCGGGGAGCTGCTGGAGCGAGCGGGGCTCGGGGCCGGGAATCCATCTGTGTGCGGGGGGTGGCTGAAGCCACCTCCAAAGCCCACAGCCCGGAGGAGGTCACTAAGCTCCGAGTGAGCAACTGTCACTCCACACCCCTGAAATCCATAAGCAGCCTGGAAACCTAAAGCCTGTCATTAGGAATGATAAAAACAGTAATTAGAGCCGGGCTGTCATGAGTTCACACCTGGAACATCGATACGAGGCGTTTACCCAGCAGCAGGAGAGCACTTCCCCCCAAATTCATGCACCAGGAACAAAGCTCCACACACCACTCTGCACACAGGCGTGAGTAAATCCTGCAGGGAGCCTTGCAAACAGACTTTACCCACCACAACAGCAGCTCCCAGCTTTGAGGGATCCAAAAATGCTGCTGCTGTGGAGGCACAGGAGCTACATCAGCTCCTGGGCCGTGGGCTCTGCCTGTCCTGATCCCAGTCCTGGTGCTTCACTGGGACTCAGCTGGGTGCTCAGTGGGCTGCACCAAGGAGTTAAACCTTCAACACACGCAGATTTGGGGGCAAACAAGCCGTGCCAAGGAGTTAGACCTTCAAAACAATGCAGATTTGAATATGAGAGCACTGTTCCATGAACTTAGCCTCAATTACATCTTGTAGAGCTCTGAGCAGCCACCACACTATAAGGCAGGTGTGAAAACCCACACTTTTATTTCTTCATGGTATTACAGGTGGAACAGCTTAAGCTGGAGTGACCTTAACAACAACAACAACAGCAGAGAAATACAGGGATGGTTGAAAGTAGCTTTATTTAGTAAAATAGTCTGTACAGAGCCAGGGAGGTTCCTGCTGCAGTACAGCAGCTGTACTCCTCACTGCCTTCCCAAATGGCTGCTTGGTCTGCCAAACCCATTTCTCTTCAAAATGTTAATAGATGACATTAATTAAAACACGAGCCAAGCTTAAAGGAAAGGTTTTCCTAATCAAAGCTCTTCTCAAGTTTTATTCTCTTGGCCTCTGCGACGTTGGCACCTGACTGGTCACTCAGGGTTCACCCTGTACCAGCCATAAATCACACCTTGTTTCATCTGTTAAAGATAGATTCCCATCCCTCCATCCTGTGAGGAGCTGAATCAGCAGGGAACTGCACCCACAGAAGCACAGCCCAGGAAGTTTTGACTTCAGGATTGTCAGGATGGTTCCTTCCCTCACAACACAGCTGCTGAAGGGCTGAGGTGAGCGTGGTCACCCACAGGCTGCTCCAGCAGGTGAGGGGCTGGCACAGGTGCCATCTCCAGAGTGCCAGGGAGCAGTGCCAGGCAAGGAGTGGAGGGTCAGGAGCTCTGTCCCCAAAGTCAGTGTCCTTTCAGCTGGCTGGGACAGACAGAAATAGGCCTGAAAGCACATTCCCCAAGCGGCCTAATTTCCCTGCCCTCACACAATGTTCTCTTTCCTCCTCAGCACCAGGGTATTTGTTTTATTTTAGGATTTAAGAGCTTACAACCTTTATCAAAGGACAAAGGTGCTCAACAATTGACTGTAATTTTTTTTTTGTCTTAAGTATTGCAATTAAGGAGCAAAAGCCAGCCCAGGGTAACAAAGCCAGGCAGGTTAAACATCCCCATCACACAAGTCTCACCCAGAAAACCAGCAGAACAGCCCCCAAGGAAATAATCCTCCCATTCCTGCTGTCACCTTTCCTTCTCTAAGTACTTGAAAGTTCCTCCCTGAACCAGGCTGTTGTGTTCAAACAGAAAAAGGTCAGGGTGACACAGAAAGGGTTTAACTTCCTCCCCAGCACTGGATCTCTGACCTGGGTGACATTCAAGAAAGCAGTTACAGACAACTATATTTAGGAAATGAAAACATGTATTTCCCCTCTCCTCTGCTCAGAGGCCAACACTCACCTGCAGCGTTTGCAGGGAGCTGTGACAAGAAGCTTAATGGAAAGGAAGCCAAAAAAACCCCAACCCCTTTCTTCTCACTGGTTTAGTAGGTCTTACAGAGGAAGAAGATGGGTAGAGATAAAAAGACTAAGCCTAAGTGGAACACAGGACCAGCTTAACAGGCTCAGAATAAACCTCTCTGCTGCTGTTATTTAACACGTGCTCCTGAGCCACTCCTGCCTGCTGAGCCCAGCACAGGATCTCTCCTCCTGGGGGCCAGTGGCACCCCCAGCACATGAGAACTGTCCCTCGGGGTGCCAGGTGTGTGACCCCAGTGGCCTGCTCTCAAAAGAGAGATCAGGTTACAGCCCCGCTCCTGGCACAGGGGTTAAACCCAGCAATATTCCAGATGAGGTCATGGGCAGAGCTGCTGCCTCCAGGCTTCCCAAACAACACGTGGGGATGGTGACACAGCTCTGCCACCCACACCAGGGCTGGGACCTGCTCCACCATGGGATTCCTCCCTGGAATTGGGCCGCCGTGGTGACACAGAGGCGTACCT